CTGCCCAGGCTGGTTTTGAACCACAATCCTCATATCTCAGCTTCCTGAGTAGCTAGGATTACAGGTGTGAGCCACTGGTCTCGGCAAGGAGATGATATTCTCTTGACCTTATTCCTTTTGAGTTTGTGGAAATACCCAGTGTATTGTTTAGAAGATGACAGTTTCAGACATAAAGCATAATTTTAATATGCTTTCTGGAGGCTACTGGGATTCTCAAGTCTAATATTCACATAGACCTCTCTTTCTTTCTGTCTCCATCTCTGTCTCCGTCTCTCTTTCTGTCTCTCTTTCTCTGTCTCTCTGGAAGAACTGGGGTTTGAGCTCAGACCTTAGTGCTTTCTAGACAGGTTTTTTACTGCTTGGGCCACACCGCAAGTCTTTTTTTACTGTGGTGGTTATTTTCTTTTTGTGCTGGCTCTGGGGCTTGAACTCAGGGCCTGGGCACTGTCCCTTAACTTTTTTGCTCAAGTCTAGCACTTACCTCTTTTTTTTTTTTTGTCGGTCATGGTGCCTGAACTCTGGGACTGGGTCTGTCCCTCAGCTCTTCAGCTCAAGGCTCTACCACTTGAGCCCCAGCACCACTTCCAGCTTTTTCTGCTTTTGTGGTGCTGAGGAATCGAACCCAGGGCCTCATGCATGCAAGGCAAGTGCTCAACCATTGAGCTACCTTCCCAGCCCCTAGCAATTACCTCTTGAGCCACAGTTCCACTTCCATCTTTTTGCTGGTTATTTGGAGATAAGAGACTTTCTTACCTGGGCTGTCTTCAAATGGCGATCCTCAGATCTCAGCCTGCCAAATAGCTAGGATTCCAGAAATGAGCCACCAGTGCCCTGATATTCCACTTGTTTTAAAGATAGGGTCTCACTTTTTGCCAGCTGGCCTGTAATCCTTTTTTTTTGGGTCCGGTTGTGGGGCCTGAACTCTGGGCCTGGGCACTGTCCCTCAGCTCTTCAGCTCAAGGCTAGTGCTCTACCACTTAAGCCACAGCGCCACTTCCGGCTTTTTGCTTATGTGGTGCTGAGGAATTGAACCCAGGGCCTCATGCATGCAAGGCCAGCACTCTACCACTGAGCCACCTTCCCAGCCCCTGGCCTGTAATTCTTCTACTTATACTTCTTATCATAGTTAAGATGACAGGTGTGTCCTATTGAGATGGGGTCTTGTGAACTTTTGCTCCAGTTGGTCTGGAACTGTAACACTCTTGATCCCAACCTCCTTTGTCACTAGGATAACAGATGTGGACCATCCAGACCAACTATTGGTTGAGATGAGGTCTTGAAACCTTTTGCCTCCTGATCTCTGCAGTTGAAGAAGCTAGGGTTACAGGTCTGAGCCAGTGGCCCTAGGCTTCTTTTAGGCATTGTTTAGATTATAATGTAAAACATTTATTTGTGGAAGAGTTCTTTGTTAAATGCCAAATTTTTAAAAAATTAAGGGGCTAGTCATTTAAATGTCACATTAAATTCAGGTATAAGGTCAGATATAGATTGAAAGGTGCTGGTGGTTGAACTCAGCCTTTGTACAGCTAGGCAATTGCTACTACTGAGCTACATCCCAAGGAAAATTTTAAAGTAAATCAAAATAGGAGAAAATAATTTCTAAGTAATTTCATTAATAATTATTTTCCCACATTTTTTGTTTGTTTGTTTTTTTGAGTCCGGTCGTGGGACCTGAACTCTGGGCCTGGGCACTGTCCCTCAGCTCTTCAGCTCAAGGCTAGCGCTCTACCACATGAGCCACAGCACCATTTCCGGCTTTTTTCTTTTTGCTTATGTGGTGCTGAGGAATCGAACCCAGGGCCTCATGCATGCAAGGCAAGCGCTCTACCACTGAGCCACCTTCCCAGCCCATCCCACATTTTTGAATAACTGAAAACTTGCAGAAAACAGCAGTACAGTAGCACTTGTGTGTCTTTCAGATTCACTAATCATTAATATTTCTGTCATAATGCCTTTTCTTTTCTTTTTCTTGTTTGGTTGGTGATTGGGCTTGAACTCTGGGCCTGGGCGCTGTCCCTCAGCTGTTCAGCTCTATGCTAGTGCTCTACAACTTGAGCCACAGCGCCACTTCTGGTTTTCTGGTGGTTTATTGGAGATAAGAGTTTCACAGCTTTTCCTGCCTGGGCTGGCTTTGACCCTTGATCCCCATATCTCAGCCTTCTGAGTAGCTAGGATTACAGACATGAGCCACTGGTATCCGGTTTACTTTTTATTTCTTGACCCTATAGATAGATCTTAATTTAGTCCTTATGCAATTTGAAAGTTAGTTTCAACTCTCGTGGCATTCACTCAATAAGTACTTATATTAGTCTTTTATGTTTAAAGACAATTTTCTGTATAACTTGTGTTAACTGTTAGCGAAGGACTAATGTTTACTAGATGTCCTAGTCTGTTTGCTGTTTTGTAACAGCAAGCCAGAGCCTGAGTGAATTGTAAAGAAAAATATGTTCTGGAGGCTAGGAAGTCTTGAGAGGGAGAAAACTGCATCTAGTGCTAGCCATCACTGCATAGTGGGAGCTATATAGGCCAGAGAGTGCAAAAGGGCACGGGAGGACTAACCTTGCTTTGGTAACAAACCCAGTCTCTCTGTAAAGCCCACTTCTGTGATAATGACAATCTTTTCATGAGAACAGACTCCTTGTGACTTAAGTCTCTCTTAGAGGTCTTATCTTCTAACACTGTTGGATTAGGAATTAAATTGTAGCCCACAAACTTTGAGGGTTACAAATAAATTGTACATAGTAGCCAGACACTGGTGGCTCATGCCTGTAATCCTAGCTACTCCGGAGGCTGAGATCTGAGGATCGCAATTCAAAGCTGGCCCACGAACATCTGTGAGACTTTTTATCTCCAATTAACCACCAGAAGACTGGAAGTGGCGCTGTGGCTCAAGTTGGTAGAGCATTAGCCTTGAGCTGAAGAACTCAGGGACAGAGCCTAGGTCCAGAGTTCAAGACCCATGACCAAAAAACCAAACCAAAACAAAAAAGCCAACCCAATCATACAGCTCATAGTCTGATTTCACCAGATCTCATTTGCATTTTTTTATTAATCATATTTTATCATATTTTTGTGTTTCTTTCTTTCTTTTTTTTTTTGTCAGTCATGGGGCTTGAACTCTGGGCCTGAGCGCTGTCCCTCAGCTCTTCAGCTCAAGGCAAGCGTTCTACCACTTGGGCCACAGTGCCACTTATGGTTTTCTGGTGATTTATTGAAGAGTCTCATGGACTTTTCCTGCCCGGGCCGGCTATGAATTGCAATTCTTAGATCTCAGCCTCCTGAGTAGCTAGGATTACAGGCATGAGCCACCGGAGCCGGGCTCGTGTTTCTGTAATGTCCTCTAGTCTGAAATTTGCATTTTTATTTTTCTTTCATGACATTGACATTTTGAGAGTCTAGGTTAGTTGTTTATACATAGTGTAGATTTGACTATTTTTCCATGACTAGGTTCAGGTGAAACATTGTTGACCAATAATAGTACAGAATTACTGATTTGTTCTCATTGTATCATATCTGGAGGCACATGCTAACTTTAATCACTTGGTTAATTTCTTTCTACCTGATCATCTCTCTACAAAGATATATTTTTTGTAATTAATAAATACTTTATGCTAACATTAAGAAGTAACATGCAGTACGTATAGTAAAATCTATTGTGTGTATTCTGTAAACTGAATTTTATTGGTTAAAAGTTGACTTTGGGACTCATATGGAAATACAGTGTGTATGAAATGTGGGATATGTAAGGGAAGGGCATAAATGGAGTAAAAATGGGCAGGCAGAAGTTTTTCTGCTAAAATGGTAATATTTGGTTAGGGTAACACAGTTGGGTTTGACTTTGAGAAAGATACGCAACAATCATTTGGGAGATTATTATATTCAAGGTAGAGTTTTATGAAAAGCTGATTCCAGTGTAATATTGTCGTCAGGAAAAAGAGGAAGAGTTGAGAAATATTCATGAGGTTAAAATGGGCAGAATCTACTGACTGTTTAAATGTTTGTTGTGGGGATTTTCTTGGTGTTTAATACGAATGCCAGATTTGTTGACTCCATTTTGCTATGCATAAGTTTTAAGGCATTAGATTCTATAAATGTATTATTGTGACAGGTCATTTTAGTTTTTCTTACAGTTATCTTATTCTTTGTACTTATCCTATTTCCTTGAAGATTATTTGAATGACATTAACAATGTGGTTCTATTTAGGGAAGAAATTTCTTCTTGATTTGTTCTACTCAAATGTACACTTGGAGCTATTAAGCCTTTGTGTAAGATCAAACAATTGGTTACAATGTCTTAAAATTATTTTGCTAGGTAGAATAAGATTTTTTCTTTTGTGCCAGTACTTGGGCTTCGACTCAGAACCTTGTGTATTTGCTCAGTGCCAGTACTGAGACTTGAACCCAGGACCTTGTGCTCGTGCTCAGATTTTGCACACTGCTGGTGACCTACTATTTGAGCCACACCTCCAATCTGGCATTTGTCTGAGTTAATTAGAGATAGTCTCTCAAGCTTTTCTGCCTAGCTGGCTTTGAACCTCAATCCTTGAAGTCTCAGACTTTAGAGCAGCTAGGATTACCAGCACTAGCCACTGATGCCTGAACTGGAATAAGATATTGGTTGTGGCCGGGCACTGGTGGCTCATACCTGTAATTCTAGCTATTCAGGAACCTGAGATCTGAGAATCATGTTTTTCAATGCCAGCCTGGGCAGGAAACTCTGTGAGATTCTTATCACCAATTGACTACCAGAAAACTGGAAGTGGCGCAGTGACTGAAGTGGTAGAGTGCTTGCCTTAAACTGAAGAGCTCAGGGATAGCACCCAGGGTCAGAGTTCAAGCCCAATGACTGACCAAAAAAAAAAAAAACCAGGTATTTGTTACAAGTAGTCTAATATCACTTCTGCTAAGATTTTGATTCTATGAAGTGTTTGTTTTTCTCAGACCACCTATTCTATTTCCTCAAAAAATAATTTTGTTTTGTTTGTCTGTGTTTTTCTAAGATGTTTTCAGTGCAGCTGAGCCTTGGGGAGCAGACATGGGAATCCGAAGGGAGCAGCATAAAGAAGGCCCAACAAGCTGTTGCTAATAAAGCTTTGACTGAATCGAATCTTCCTAAACCAGTTCAGAAACCACCTAAAAGTAATGTTAATAATAACCCAGGTATGTCATTGACTTGTTGCCTTCTTTTGTGTAGTAAGGAGTGTATGATGTCTGTATGTTTCATATGTATAGCAGGCCAGCCACGCAGCCATAAATACTAACAGTGTATACATATACAATACAAGACAGGTGAATAAGCTGAAGGAGTAAGAAAATAAAGCAGGTAATTGAAATTATTTTTAAAATTTGCTTTAATGGGTATTACAAAAGTGCATTATTAATTTTTAAATGTTGGGAAAAATACAAGTGGACACAAAGCATAAATAATGTGAGCCTTTTAAGGTAAAGATAGAAATGATCAACACCTCTTTTTTAGTATTTTAAAAAATAAGGCATTCTTTTTTTTTCCTGCTGGTTTTGGGATTTGAACACAGGACCTGGGTGCTGACTCTGTTTTTTTTTGCTCAAGGTTAGTGCCCTACCACTTGAACCACAGCTCTGTTTCTGGCTTTGTAGTAGTTTACTGAAGATAAGAGTTTCACAGGCCTTCCTGCCTGGGCCGGCTTTGAACTGCAATCCTTAGATCTCAGGCTTCTGAGTAGCTAGGATTACAGGTGTGAGCCATTGACACTTAGCTCATTATTTTATTTTATTACAAAATTATAAAGTTAACCTCGAGGCATCTTATTAAATATTGCTTTTTGAAATGGTTGATATTCAGTTTTGAAAATTGGTGAATTGCTTACTTACTTAGTTTTACACATCTATGAGGTCCAAAATTTTATTCTTTTCTAGGAGGATCCTTATAGTTTTATATAAAAATGCATAATTTTGTGGTAAACATTAAGTGCCAAGTGGATAATAACAGCTGTGAAAATAATAGGTAATAATAAACATTAACTGAAGGTACATATAGACTTTGAATAGTAGCCATGTAAATAGGAGAGGAAAATGTATTCCAGATTAAAGGAATACTATGATGAAAAAAGGCACTGGAGTGAGAATCTGGACAGTGGGTTTGGTTAAAAAAAGTCATAGATGGTTTTTAATTACAATAGGCAAGTGACTAGTCAAAAATAAGACTAGAGACTGAAAAGAGAGAGTGCATTGTGATGGTCTTAAATGCCAGGGGTATAAGATTGTTTATTTTTTCTCCTCTGTAATTTGGGACAATTAATATTTATAAGCAAATGGACAGTGGGCTTAAAAGAACATTTTAGGGCGTTCAGTTTGACACTTGAATGGATGGCAGAAGATAATTAAAAACAAGATGATCAGCTAGGAAATCATTGCCATAGTTGGTGAGTGAAGAGAGGAAAAGCTGAAACGCCCTTATATTGAGTAGTATGTTCTCCCCACTCTGCAAGGGGTTGGGACTGTGGTACATGGAATGGAACAGAGTGAGCTCTCCAAGGCTGATAACGTACAGCAGCAGCAGCTGTGACCTAAGCTCTGGGTCAGGCCCTCTAGCAGAGGATCACAAAGGAAATACTCTAGCAAGAGTCAGAGCAAGGAGAGGCCAAAAGGCCAGAGAAGATGTGTTTTTTCATTATTGAATATTGTAAACTGAAAAAAGAAATTATTTTGGGCACTTTAAAAAAAGTATATTGCATACAGGCAAATGTAACATATTACAGTTGTGGAATTGATGAGGTTTGCACTGAAAGGCTTTATGATAGGTTTTATCAGTGCTTCAGAAGTCTCCCTTATGTCTTTTTTTTTTTTTTTTTTTGGGTCCATTCATGGGGCCTGAACCCTGGGCCTGAGCTCTGTCCCTCAGCTCTTCAACTCAAGGTTAGCAACCTACCACTTGAGCCACAGTGCCACTTCCAGCTTTTTTCTTTTTCTTTTCTTTCTTTTTTTTTGGCTTATGTGGTGCTGAGGAATCAAACCCAGGGCCTCATGCATGCAAGGCAAGCGCTCTACCACTGAGCCACCTTCCCAGTCCCCCTTATGTCTTTTTTGAGTGGTTAAATAACTGCAAAAGAAACCATTCTTCTGATTTATTTTTTAAATATGTTTTATTATGACATTTCATCTACATACCTCATATTCACCCTCCTCCATTTGGGCCACATTCCTCATATTCACCCTGTATTCACCTCTTTCCTATTTCATACCTCATATTTACTCCCCTCCATTACACTGCCATTCAGGTTTCTGTCAGAGAGTTGTGTATGCTTGTTGGAATCATACACTAGCCTCTTGAGGATAGCTTGCTTTTTCTGTTATTATATGTAGGTGATTCATCTGCATTTTGTTTAAAGCATAGTATTTTATATATTATTTATGTAATATATAATATATATTATATAATATGCATTTATTATATATAATATATATTATACATTATATATTACAAATACTTTTATATATAGTATTCCCTCACATATGTTAACGTAATTTACTTAGGATAAATTCCCTTTCATTCATTCCACTCTTTTTTTTTTTTTTTTTCATTCTACTCTTGATACTCAGATTATTTCCAGTTTGGAGCTATTTAAAATTATGCTACTACAAGCATTCTTGTATACATTTCTGTTGGGAATAAAACCATGATTGGATGTCTTTCATCATAAGTTATGCATGTGTTTTGTTCTAATACATAATATCACACACTGTCAACTTATTTCCCAGCAGTGTATAAGAACTCTCTACATTCTTGTTAACCCTAGGTATTTTCAGCTCTCCAATTTTTAGCTATTAATCTGAGGAAATGGAGGTTGAGCTAAAAATGCTGAGGGAGTACTAAGTCCTAAGTACTAAGTCCTGCCTTAGTACTGGTACACATATAAGAAAAATGCATTGTCTTTTAAAATTTATTTTCTGTTTGTTTTTTTAAAATTGACTTGTGAGTTTTTATATATATTGGAATCATAACCTTGTTGTATTTGTATTATAGAATTTTTTCATACTTCTAATAGCATATATTGAAATTCTTTAAAGAATATTAATAGTCTTTTGGCTAGTGCTTTTTTTGTATACTGTTTAAGAAATCTTATCCCATAAAGGTTTTGAAGATAACCACATTATTTTTAGAAGCTTTATTATTTTTCTAATTGAGGAAATCAAGTGCTATATGTGATACCAGAATTTTCAATTTCTCTTCTTTTTAAATGTATGGCCATGCAGTTAACCTGATAGGTCTATACTAAGAGAGCCACATTTGCTGTAAAGCAGACTCAGTATCTAGGAGTCTGTTCTAGCAGGTATCAAGTCCCGACTATGGGAAGAGTCAGCATGGATGATCTTGACAGTTAATTATGATTATATCATAGCCTATTTTTCTTTCTCATTCCTGTTACTTTTTAACTGTGGCAATAATTTCAGATTTATAGAAAATTTGTAGAGATAGTACATAAAGCTCCAATGTACTATTCACTCAAATACCACATTAGCATTTCTAAACAGAAAGTTTATGGATGTGATGTTCCATTAGCCTTTAGTACTTCAAGTATTTTCTAAGTGCACTGACATTCTTCCATCAGGAAGTTAACTTGATTGAAATTACTGGTCTTAGTAGACTGTTCAGATGTTACTGATTATCCCAGTAATACCATTTGTAGGTCTAGGGTCTAATCAAGCTTGTATGGTTAACATGCTTACCATTTTTCTTCGTTCCACTTCAGCCTGGAACAGTTCTTCAGTCTTACCTTTCATGATCCCGACAATTGTGAAAAACACAAGAACAGCTGTTGTGGTTTTTATTTTACTTTATTTCATTTATTTATTTATTTTTTTTTTGCCAGTCCTGGGGCTTGAACTCAGGGCCTGGGCTCTGTCCCTTAGCTTCTTTTGCTCAAGGCTAGCACTCTACTACTTGCCACAACGTCACTTCTGGCTTTTTCTGTTTTATGTGGTACTGAGGAATTGAACCCAGGTCTTCATGCATGCTAGGCAAGCACTCTACCACTAAGCCACCTTCCCTGCCCTTTTTTTTTTTTTGGGTCCAGTCGTGGGGCCTGAACTCTGGGCCTGGGCACTGTCCCTCAGCTCTTCAGCTCAAGGCTAGCGCTCTACCACTTGAGCCACAGCGCCACTTCCGGCTTTTTTCTTTTTGCTTATGTGGTGCTGAGGAATCGAACCCAGGCCCTTGAGCATGCAAGGCAAGCGCTCTACCACTGAGTCACCTTCCCAGCCCCTGTTTTGTTTTGTTTTTAAACTAGACAAGTCTCAGCATTTTGTTCAGGCTGGCATGAACTTCTGGGTTGAAGTGATCCCCCATTGAGGGAGCTAGGACTATAGGCATGCATTAATGCACCTGGCTTCTCATTATTTTGGTTAAAAGTATCCCAGGTTTCTCCGTGGGTATGGCTCCTCTGAGCTGACAACTTTGTCTTGATATTGCCTCATCATTCCTTGGTCACTTTTTTCTGGAATAATAAGTTGTTCTTAGGTCAGCTTGTATTTTCTTTGGCTCAGCCACATAGTGGTCTCTCCTTGGTAGCCTGGTTGTCCTGTTCATCAGTTCATTTTTCAGCAAATATTTATTGTGTGACTGTTGTGTTCATGTGCTTTCTAACCTCCTACAAATGCTCCTTGAAAACTAGTTGTGACATTTCCTTCACTTGTCATATGTGGAAATCTAAAATAGTTTTGTATAAGTATACATCTAATTATTTAGCCTTATGACTGTAGAATTTTCCTTTAGTATGTCTAAGAACCATGTCAGAATCCCATATCATTCCCATAAGACTTTTTGTCAATTAAAAATTATGAGAACCGGGGCTGGGAAGGTGGCTCAGTGGTAGAGCGCTTGCCTTGCATGCATGAGGCCATGGGTTTGATTCCTTCAGCACCACATAAGCACAAAGAAAAAAGCCGGAAGTGGTACTGTGGCTCAAGTGGTAGAGCACTAGCCTTGAGCTGAAGAGCTGAGGGACAGTGCCCCATGACTGGACCCCCCCCAAAAAAATTATGAGAACCAAGGAAAATTGATCTCTTTACAGCATCAGCTTTATAGTTTATAACACTGCAGGACCCTGGTTGATAATTGTCTTTTTACTCCTGGGTTGACCTCTCATACGTTGAAAATGAAGTGCTTAGCCTTCCTTGGAGGT